GTTCCCATCCGTATTACGTCCGTATTCACCAGTAACACGTCTATCATACAGATTGTTGAATTGCATCTATTTTACGGTCATTTATATAACCACTGTATGAAACACAAATATAATATTCAGATAGTATTTAAATTTGTGTAAATATCAATTCTTTCTTCCTTTAGACAAAGAGACAGCAATAAAATATGTATTAGTAGTGTTTCTTATTCCTCTGGTTGTTCTCATACAGCATTGTCCGGGTGAATACTGTTTTATCTTTTGATCATGCATGGCATGTAATATTTGATGTGAAAGTATATTACTATAAGATGGTTTTATGCATACCGCTATGATCTTCATCTTGACCTTTGACCTTAATGTAAAAATAAATAGGGTTTTTTTTCACATTTTCTGTCCGTAACATATAATTGCCACATGACTGCAACACCTAAATATGATGTGTCGCATACCATTGAAGGTGACCTCTGACTTTGATCTTTGCTAATGTCAAATTATTGATTTGTATATGTCCACACTAAAAACCTTATATATTCTAGCTTGCTATGGCAAGACATTTTCAGTGTAACTAAGGGTTTACTCTCTCCAGCAGGTAATACATCGTGAAATATTTCTAAATGATTCATATACCCACCCCTAAACAGTATATATTATTAATTGTGATATCAATACACCAAAGAATTTAAGGGCCCCGTTGACTAGTTTGCGGGTGCCCTATAGTGATCACAATGTTTGCCTCTCCGTCAACACTTCTGTGTCGTACGATACGTCAAGATTGAGCAGAGTGTTAATATCTATAACAGGACAGAACCTTATTATTTGTGAAATTTAGAGCATAATTGTGATAAAAACTTAGTTTATGTTGAAAAAAAAACTTTCAGAAGCATCTTCTTGTGCCAGAATTTCATTTAAAAAAGTTGATATATAGTATTCATATGCTATTCAAAAATGTTTCCCTAAGTCGGTTGGGTCCATAAAAAAAATGATATATAGGTGTAATAAATAATTTTAAAGTAATCGAAGGTACCAAAAATTATAAAAGAGTGGTATAAACTAACTTTTTGTTAAACAAATCCTAAATTTTGGAAATCGTCTGTTTTTGTTAAGATTTTAAATTGATCTATATGTATAATATGATATTCCAAATTGTTACTCAATGTCAAATATTTGGTAAAAAGTTTTAGTTTTCGTGAGAGAAAAACATCGCAAATTTGGAGAAACTTATTTTTGTATTTGGATTTAGAAAAAAAATATATTTGTATAACTACATTCCAAATTGTTTGCTGATTTCAAAATTGTGATATAAACTCAGTTTAGGTAAAGAGATGATATACTTTTAAAAAAAAATATCCTTTTGTTTTGCATTTCAATGAAAACGAAAGTTTGATAACTCAGCAGATAGTTTTACGATAAATATATATATATATGATATATATATATTTGTATTTTTTATATGTGGCCTATGCCAACACATTCATTTAGCAAAAAAAAAGTAATTTTAAAATTTGGATACACTGTAAAATATACTATAGCAATTTCTATTACACAAGGTCTACCAACAAGATCTTCCTACATGTACATCACCAATGTAAAAATTATTCTCATTTCTCATTAATTAGTCCTTGCTGGAGATATAATACAAAAACTTCTTATTTTTTGTATTTTCTTCTTTTGCATAGATTAAAAGATAAGTTAACCACATATTAATTTCACTTTTGTAGCCCAGGACCCTATTCAGTGGTTGTTTGACATGTCTGTCATATATCAATGTTTTTTTTATCATTTGGAGTATTTGGTGTTGACAGATCATCTCGATTGGTTCTGTTTAATCTATTCAAACTATTATAGATTTGTGACAGTTAAGAGATTGGCATATTGTATAGATACCTGTCTATTGTTGAAGACTGTATATTGCCCTTTATATGTTGTTTGTTTTCTTTTTTTTTTTTGTCATCGGGTTGCTGTCTCAACGATGTATATCCTTCTATACGAAATGCAGATATTTGCCATATACATTTTACATGTAGTATTTCATGTATATATTAAAAATGCCTTTTAGTTTACTTATAAATTGGATATATATCAGGATTTAAGCACACTTTAAACGTATTTCTTAAGTGTACTATATTTACAATATATGATACACGTTTTAAAATACTCTGAAAAGCACTTGTGAAGACATATATATGATATTTACTTATATTGACCTTCATAGATACAGCATGGCACCTTGACTATGAGACAGCAAACCAGTAACTCAAAAAACCCAAAAGACAAGTTCGTGCTATAGCAAGGCAGAATATCCGTAATTTATGACAGGATGTCAAAAACTTTTTTATGATAAATCAAAGCATTATATTTTCTTTTAAACCATTTTTGCACGTTAATGTATCAGTTTCTTATTGTTTCAACGAAAGAAATTTATAAGGCAAATATTATACAATAATTTTTTAATGAAAATAAAACATGTGCTTTAACAGCCGTAATACGAATGTTTTGAAATACGTCCGTAAATCGGATGTTTTAGAACGTCTGTAATACGGAAGATCCGTTTACGGACGTGGTACTATTTCTCCGTAAAACGTCCGTGATACGGATGTTTTACAGACGTATTTCATAACGTCTGTGATACGTCCGTAGCTATTTTACCTTGGTAGCTTTTTCTAACCACAAAAAGAATTTTGTATTTATCTCTCCTTTTACCCATTGTATTCTTGTCCTTATTTGAGCCCTTTATTTTTTATTTCATAAAATTTTCTTCGTTTACATTCATTATAAATTAATTCTTCTTGAAAAAGTTTAATAACATCATCTTTACAATTTCTGTTAATACTTTCATTTAATATTGGTATTGGACTTTTTTAATTGATACATATTGTTTATAACTGTATTAAAAGTTAGAATGCAACTCGCTCATGTAAATTTGCATCAAGCGGTATTTGCTCTACTGTTTATGAAAATTTTGCTTTGATGCTTACTCGTTTAATGTTTTTGTAACTTTTGATCTAAAGCGGAGTACACGATGAAAGGACATTCCAAGTCGTGTGTACTGAAATAGATTATAACAGTTTTGTTTGAGCAATGTAGACTACTTCATGTCTAAAATTCTTACTTTGTATTGTGTTATTCTTTTACAGATTTCATGTCTTGTAGTTGATGTTTTATTATTAAAAACTCTGCTTATATGTACAGATATTTTCAATCCCAGCACTTTTCACATTTTCCGGCTGCGATCGGTAGTGTGGTTGGTGATGATTTAAGCATACTCTGCCGGGACAACTGACTGATATTAGCCACTTTTATTAACGTTATGCGATTTTTCTTTAAATTTATTTACCACTCTTTAAATTCTTCGAATTTATAATTATTGGTTTCATAACGAGTGACACGAAAATTGAGTTAATTTGATTAGCTTTTTATTGATGTCTTTCAAAAGTCAAAACTATATACATTTCCTCCATGGCAGAGGCTCGTTTAAGATATTTGTTGAGGTCCTTTTTGGTCATATATCTCTTCACCTGTTTTTGGTTGTTATACATCCTTGGCTTTCAAATATTCGGTTTTGAGCGTTCCTGATCCAGAAAAGCGCTTCTGACGCATGAAATTTATAACGTGATGTTTCATTTTTACAGCACTGGGTAGATACCTCTGCTAGTGGACTATCAGTCCCCGAGGGTATCATCAGCTCAGTAGTAGTAGTCAGTACTTCGGTACTGACATGATTTGTAACAAACCTTTCTAAATTATCCGTCTATAAATTTTGAAATTATAAAGAAACGAAGGTTTCAACTTCCTCAGGCGAAGTTGACCTAATATGGATTTGGCTATTTTTGTAGGTCCTGTTTTATTGTTAAACATCCTTGGCATTCAATTATTCGGTTTTGAGCGTTCCTCATGAAGGTAAATCCAGGAAGCGCATCGGACGCAAGACATTTATAACGTGTTGTTTCATTTTATTAAGACCCCGTACACACTTGCAGTTTTTTTAATCGATCTAACTTTGAATTAGTCTAAATAAAACCAGTTAGCGTTCACATTGTCTTTACTCATAACGATTTCTATCAGCCTAACCTGAATCACTGCTTCAACACTGCAAGTAAACATGCAATCGATCTGATCTTTTTACCCGTGAAATCGTAAACACTGTGCCTAATTATATAGAAATATTTTATCAAATTAATGTGTTGATTTTCGGCGAATCGGGTAGCAAATGTTTGCAAAACAATAATTGACGAAGTTATTAATATTTCTTATCTTCAATTATAATTTCAAGTTCAAATGTTGATACTGTTGTTTTTACAGTTTTTGTGATAACTTGCACATGTAGTTCTGCCGCAATACATACCCATTTTTTTCGATTCAATTTAAGGTTAGGTCGATTCACAGTAGATCGATTCAAACTAAACTACCTCTTTCGGTGTTTTAGTTTAAACCGATTCAAGATCGAATCAAAGCGTTCACACTTGACTTAAATCGATCTATAGTGAACCGATATTGTTTAAATCGATCTAAATGTCCAAGCGTGAATGGGGTTTAATATTATATTGAAATTAAATAACTCGAGTTTACATCAAGCGAGTTTTTAAAACTATTTCTCTTATGGTAAACATTATTTTAATGTTAGATTTTTAAAAGTAAAACATTTCGCGACTCTTTGATCTTGTCTTTTGCACATACCAGTATGACTTCATATGTCCTGTTCCGACTTTTCAAAACTGTTTACGCTCATAATGTTACGGCCATAACCATAAGAGAATCTATTTTCTTCTTTCTTTGTGTACAAATTTCTAAATATAACAATTTGTAGTCAGTAATCTCAAAACTTATCATTTTCAACTTTAAATCTCCATTGCTTGCACTAGTGTCAATATGTCCGAACGGCATTACAACTCCAAAATACGCCCATAGAAACCTATTAATAACTAACATCATTATTACATTTATATATCTAGTTATAGAAATCAGGTACAGATACCTGTAGACAGAAATGACTTGAGAACATGTATGTGTATATCATTTATACAAATATAATAATATCACTTCGTTCGAAAAATTAGATTTTAGTTCATTTGAACAAAATCTATTGCATAGTACAGCAGCAAGTACACCCAAAGGTACATCTAGGACAGCAACACCCGACTTGACGTCGGAACAAACGAACTAAAAAGAAAGAAAAAGAAGTAATAATTGGTAAATGCAGTCAAACAAAGTTATAACTAGCAAGTTATTCCATGCCTAGTCTACGGCTGCACCTGGCTTTCACTATAGTAAAAGTTATTTCGCGACGATAGCCCTTTACTATTTAAAAAAAAGTCTATGGGAGTAATATTGATCTTATGACATTGTATAGATATACTTTTATAGTTGAAGATTGCATGTTGTCCTTTTGTGGCTTTTGCTATAACGTCGTCACCTGTATGTCTTATTTACGTATAACGGCCCAATCTCCTTTTATCACCTTTGGCCTCGCTTGGGGCTAACTAAAACATATCAAAGAACTGATAGCTCTGAGGGGGAAGAAGATACATAAAAGGATAACTTGAATTGCAATGAAAACACACCTCAGCAACCCAGCCTACTCTGTGCGATTGTTGCTTTCGACAATATTTTTCTTAAAAAAATAATATACCCAGCGGGCACATGATGTTGTTTCAACGTTGAAAAATTGTAGAATTTTGGTTGAGTTCGTCTTCAACGTTGTTTCAACGTAGATTTAACGTTAATTTTTCAACGTCGAATTTTCAATCACAATTCAATGTTGATTCCACGTTGAAATTTCAACATTAAGTTGATGTAAATTCAACGTCACTTTTTGAACGTTGAACCTATATATAAAATCACTATCCGTCTTATATTGCTTTTCAACACATGGTCACGTACTACTTTATATTCAGACATTAACCGAGAAAGGGTTGTGTGAAAATTATTAGTAGATCAGTTGAATCGGAATAAGATCCATACACGCAATTATTTTATGTATGGCCGTTTTGAGGAAAAAAAATATTTAATTCAATTTGTACACCCAGGATTCAAGAGTTCCTTTCTTTGCTTATAAAAAATGTACATATTGCATGTATATGATATACTTTAACTATTCAAATCTGTTTTTTTGGTGATTTAAAGGTTGGAAATTAAAGCAAAATTATTATAAACTGGTTTTATATATTCCTAGATTAATATAAACAAGCATTCTGAGAGTATTGCATAGCAATGCATAGTTCCATATCGGTTAAAAATTCATTGTATTGGAACAAAATGACAAAAAAAGTGCGGAAAACTGATTACTTTCACATATCCAGAAATCAACGCCACTTTGCTTATTTGAATATTATACTAAAGAAATCGAATACGGGTCACGGAAATTATATTGAAATGATAGGGAATTTAGAAATTAGAAAAAATGTGTTTTAACTTTGATTTCAGTGATAGACAGGTTGCCGGGGCAGAAAATAAATATACACAACAATATACACCATTTAAACGAAATATAATGACTGGCGTTGCAAAAATCAAGGTTCCTGAGCTATTTTAAAAATCGAAGCGAGAGGCTTTTAACATTGCAGTATAAAATACAGGCTAAAATGGCTGAAACGTCAAATTTGCAAACTTCGTGTTGAAAATTGGCTAACAAGATCATTAGAAAAACAGGTTGCCGGGGTGAAACTTGAAACTTGAATGTCCAAAGAATAAGCAAGTCCAAACCTTGTATGTGTAGTCGTTGAACTCTAGGTTCCCACGTAAAGTTAAAATGCCTCTATTTCAAGAAGAATAAACTCACGAAAACACGAAAAATTCACTAAATTCGCGTTCATTGTTTTGATTTTGACCGCCTGACAACTTTACGGAAATATCAGAGTGATTATAAACAAGGACTCTGTGACGGGCAACTAATAATATCCGTGTTTTAAAGATTTTAATGATATCAAGCCAGTCCAGTTCAAACTATTATCACGTGGTACAATTCTCATTTACATATTATGCATATTAATTAGCAAAAGTACTACTAATTTCTGGCTATGATGTATTTTCTTAGTCCAAGGACCATAACTCTGCAAAGAAATCATCCGAACCAAACAAAATTCAAACTTGATCTATAACTTGTCATGGCTAAACAATTTACCAAATATCAAATCAATATCTTCAAGCATGATGAAAAAAAGTGCGGAAAACTGATTACTTGCATGAATTTTCTAAGTCCAAGGACCATAACTCTGCAAAAAATCATCAGACTGGAACAATATTCAAACTTGATCTATAACTGGTCATGATTAAACTATATACCAAACAGATCAAATCAATATCTTGAAGCATAAAGAAAAAAGGTGTGGAAAACTGATTTGTCAGACTGACAACGGACGGACGGACAGACAGACACACGGACGGACAGAGTGCAAACATAAAGTCCACTTCGGCTTTTCCAGAAGGGGACTAATAAATTTCAATAACCTTCCATCTGTTAATCACAACTACAAAATCAGCTATATTTAGACCATGCAGGGACTTATACATGCACTCCCTGGACCAAGTTTATACTTTTATTATTTATTCATATTAACCGAATGACACTTCTCAGGAAAAGAAGAAGAAAAAAACCCATTCAAGATGGACAATGATTAATATTGTAAAATATATTCCATAGGCTGAAATTAACGACTAGTTTAGAGCTCTGTGCATAATGGACATGTAACTGAAAGTTTACGCATGTCTGTTGGCGTTTCATTCAAATGAAATAACATGTGTTTACCGCTCGAGAAAAACTGATACTTATTAAAGAGAATAACAAATTACAAGAGAGTCTACACTGTCATCCAAGAAAAAAGATTAGAAGATTAGAAGACTGAAACCAGAAATAATAAACAACGATGGCAGAAGGGAGCAGACCTATGAGACAAGAACACAAAAATTAACAATCAGTACGTTTTTTAAATGTAACAAAGTTTCAAATCGATTGCACACTCATCAATCATGGACTAGTTTCTTATTGACAACATCGTTTTTGAATTTAGAGGTCGAATTTTCCAGCCGGTTGTCGGCATTCCTTTTGGAACAAATTGTGCACCTCTCCTGGCCGACCTTTTCTTATTTTCACATGAGTCGGAGATACTTCAGACACATGTAAAAAACAAGAAGATCAAAGAAGCTAGATTATTTAACTTCACATACAGGTATATTGATGATGTTCTTTTCATCAACAATCCAAACCTTTTTGATTGGGTCCTATTAATATATCCACCTGACCTAGAGATTAAAGAAACCACAGATATAGCTTCCTCCGCATCATTTCTAGACATTTACCTCAAATTTGACTTAAGCGATCATCTCATAACCAGAATATATGACAAACGAGACGATTTCAATTTTGAAATTATAAATGTTCTCCACCTTAGCAGCAATATACCAACTTCACCGGCGTATGAAGTATACATTTCTCAATATCATACGATATTCAAAAGCTTCCAGCTGCTACTCAGACTTTGTAAAACGTCATCGGTGTCTGAGCAGAAAATTAATGAGTCAGGGTTTTGTCAAAGAACGTCTCGTTCTTTTTCTCAAAAAGTTCATCGAAAAGTACCAAGACCTAATAGATAAATATTCAATGTCTACTTCACAAATAACACAAGATGGTCTTGAGTTATAGATTTAGGTGCAGAAATTGTGTATCTTTTTATTTTACTATAGTTTCCCCGTTATTTGTCTTCCGGTATACTGTTTCTTTTGGTCGTATGCCTATTGACGTGACTGGGTATTTATGCATCCCGCCATCGGGTTTTTGACTTTTTAACTTTTGACATTCCTGGTTCAAATGGGTCCAGCGGTTCGATTCGGACACAAAGGGTTTTTACAGTGTTTTTTCTATTTTTTTACTCTTGTATTTATATATACTTATTTTTTTATTTATCAACGACAAAAAAAAATTGTAGACTTTATTGTCAAATTTACTATCTACTACACCTTTTTTTGTTTGCGTCTTTGATAGATTTATTTGTATGTTTGTTTCAATGTTTTAGTCAGTTGTGTTGTATCTGTGATGTATGTTCACACAATTTTGGCTGCTGGATTCCAATTATTGTCACATTAACAAATATTGTCTGTTTGGGTTGCGCAACCAATTTTGTCAATATCATGGAACTATAAACAACTGTCATACAAGTGGAAGGTTTAGCTAGCTATAAAACCAGGTTTAACCCACCATTTTCTTCGGGAAATGCCTGTACCAAGTCAGGAATATGGCAGTTGTTTTCACTTGTTCCGTTGATTGATAGCTTTTGATTTTGTCATTTTTTATGGACTTCCTCTTTTTGAATTTGCCTTGGATTCCGCTATTTTTATGAATTCCGATTGTACTCGGAGAACGACATGTCGGCCCGGAGACAACTGAGCAACTCTATAAATAAGAGACATATAGTAATCAACGTCTGCATACTGGATCCAAATGTATAATAATGATGGTCCGTATTTACATCGTTGGAGCTGTCTATTTAAGCGGTAAAAGTTTGATTTTTATATAAAGGGTCGAATACTATTCGGGCCAAATTGTCACTGTTCTTTCAAGTTTAATCAACGCATGCGTTCTATCAGATTTATTATAAAAAGCATTCGGTAACAGTAAATAGAAAATTTTGAATTATGTGAAATTGACGATAAGTAAGATGAAATATGAAAATTAACGTAAAAAGAAAGGGAGATATTAAAACATTAAAACATGAGAATCTAGAAAGCTAACGTTAGTGATTGTTCTTAAGCCTAAATGTACATTTGTTTTTCTGTCTTTGTTTCATAAAATGATGCAGACGCTTTTATACAAACTTACAACCGATCATGTGTTAAAAAGGTGTTGAGATGAGGCATGGAAGTTATAAAGTGGTAAAGCACGGAAAGGGATACGGAAACACTCCTGAAAACGGTTCAATGATTTTAAAAACAGTCAGCAGTTAAGGAATTCCGAAGACTGAAAAGTCTTCTTCCCTCCATATATCTATAATACTAACTTTTGTTTATTTTCTTGGTTTCAGCAGTTATTTCGGGCAATGCTGATGGAGAGCTTGACACCAGCACCATCAATGCCATTGCTGTCACAAGGAGCAATATTGTACTTTTAGCCATCTTTATGTTTAATTACTGAAAGAGACATAAAAGGCATATTAGTTAAACAAATCTAAATTATGTTCGCATTTTTTCGTCTTTTATCATTATCGTTGCACAAATTTCTAGACTCATATCTAGACTTATAAATATATATATATATATATATATATATATATATATTAGGGAAGAACAAAAATTTGCTTCCGCAAATTTGCAGATTTAACATTGTTGTGCTGATATTTAGAGTAGTTATGAATATAAAATGTGTTCACTGGTGATCCAATGGATGGATCCGTCGTAGAGTTGTCACTTGTTTAGACGTACAAAATAATTATTTCTTTTACTGCATCATACGATCCTTTACGATAGATATTAAGCTAATCTGCAATCCATTCCATCATCATGCCTAATATATCATGTACTGTGTTACAACTCTAGATTCTACTGACGAGGAAAGGTAACACTAGGCCATCGAAAGCTGAATTATTAGTTCAGTCTAGGTGGCTGAGTGGTCTAGAGCGATGGAAACAGTGCAGGCGGTGTTGTCTCGATATCCCAATAGCATGAGTTCGAATCCCGGCGAGGGAAGAACAAAAAAATGCTTCCGTAAATTTGCAGATTTAATATTGCTGTGCTGATATTTAGAGTAGTTATGTATATATAATAAATATATATATATATAGCGGATGTGGTTGAGTGGTCTAGAGCGCTGGTCTTAGGCTAAGCGATTGGTGCTGTAGTGTATCAAAGGTGTGAGTTCAAATCTCGTTGAGGGACAAAAATTTGTCAGCATAAAAATCTAATTCTAACAATGTTGGGTTTAATTTTCAGACTTATATAATATATAAATAATATATATATATAGAGAGAGAGATAAGATTTATATATATAATACCGAAAGCTGAATTTTTAGTTCAGTCTAGGTGGCCGGGTGGTCTAGAGCGCTGGACACAGTGCAGACGTGTTGTCACGATAACCCAATAGCATGAGTTCGAATCCCGGCGGAGGAAGAACAAATTTGCAGATTTAATATTGTTGTGCTGATATTTAGAGTAATTATGAATATAATATGTGTTTTCAGCCGTGTATCACCTTCACTGGTAATCCAATGGATGGATCTGTCGTAGAGTTGTCACTTGTTTACACGTACTTATTTCTGTGACTGCATCTTACGATCCTTTACGACAGATAATTTAGCTAATCTGCAATCAATTCCATCTTCATGCCTAATATATCATGTACTGTGCTACAACTCTAGATTCTACTGACGAGGAAAGGTAACACTACGCCACCGAAAGCTGAATTTTTAGTTCAGTCTAGGTGGCCGGGTGGTCTAGAGCGCTGGACACAATGCAGGCGGTGTTGTCACGATATCCCAATAGCATGAGTTCGAATCCCGGCGAGGGAAGAACAAAAATTTGCTTCCGCAAATTTGCAGATTTAACATTGTTGTGCTGATATTTAGAGTAATTATATATATATATATATATATATATAGAGGGAGAGAGAGGAAGAGATAGAGAGTACACGAACAAACACTATCAAAAAGCTGATAGCTCTGAGGAGGATTAAACTTCTTTACGCCAGACGAGCGTTTCGTCTACTCAAGACTCATCAGTGCCGCGCGAACCAAAAAAAAAGAAGGCAAAATAAAGTCAAAGATGAAGAGCATTGAGATTTTGAACAACACTAACCCAACAACGAATGAGTTGTAATAGTTGTTATCAGTTGATTTCTTGACATTGACATAAAAAACTGTGTATTTGAAGTTATTCAAAATCCCTCATTAACTGATTTTTTATGATTGTTCTTATGTTGTGCCGTTACACAATTGTCCCTGGTCAGGTGTTGTGTTTTGAGCACTTGTTAAAATTTCAAATCCCGTCGTTTTCTGTATGTTATTGTCCAAAGTCAGGAACCTGCAATTCGCTGCTGTCATGCATATTTGTTTTTCATCTATTGTCTTTACACAAAACTTTAAAATTTCCACTTGATAAATGTGTTGTGTCTGAAGTGTTTTCTTGATTTACCTACATCAGGACTGTTATTTACAAAAAATTGAAAGTCAATGCAGAGTTCTTGATAAGAATTTTGTCATATGGGACATTTGTCCCTGGTTATACTGTATCGTGAGAGCCAAAATGAGAGACTCTGAAACTGGTTATTTTAAGAAGGGATATATTTCAGGACTGAGCCTAGACTTTTAATGAGTATATTAATGCATAAATAACTTTAAAATTTTACTGGCTACAGAGTAACTTAGAATGAACTTTTTCTAAAAACAAATTGATTTTGATCTCTACTAAAAAATGTGCAATGGAATATTCAAGGTCAATTTTGGTTTTCACTATTTGTGGTTATTCACATTTCGAGTTTAAAAAACACATTCCAGTTCATCATGATAGCTTGGTCTCGAAGTGTCCACTCTTACCAACAAAATAGTTACTCTTCAAAAAATTTTAAGTATTACTCCAGAAATTGTTTTCTCTCCAAGAAATGACCGGGACAGGTCATCAATTATTGTTTGTGGTTGTCATCGTCCAACTTCGAGAAAACGTTTTTTTTTTTCTTAAAACAAAATTTTATTAACATATTTACATTTGTTTATAGATACATCAAATACCTACCTTATCCCGGCCACGTTAACATTAGTATAGAGGATATATTATGGCTAGTTGTGTTAATACACAAATTTTCATGAATCCGGATATAACTTATGTCTTCACCTGATTTTTTTTTATTAATTGTTTTGTTTACAAAATAGCTTGATTTATTAACACGTGTAGTGCTATGGAATATATCTGATCAAATAGATTAGCCATGGAATTTTTCAAAATATATGTTTTGCAGGAATTATGATATGTCGTTATTTTATTCTGTGGTAATTGTATGATTGAAATTCGTATGTGTTTTACAAAATATATATCTACAGTAAAATCGGATGCTATTTTATTAGTCCAAATAATTATGACGTCTTGAAAGGCTATTTTATTTTTTTGCTTTGACGCCTTACAGCGACGTCATAACGCCGAACTCATTTGTTTCAGTTGGAGAGAGAGAATTTACTGCTTTATTAAAACGTTAGCTGATTTCTATTTGAGAAGCTTTACTTTAAGAGTATAAAATTTTGGCACCAAACTCGGTAAAATTTGGCGGACCTGTATTTTCGGACAATATAAAACTAATGATCCGGAAATTCGGGTCTGTCCAATTTTACCGAGTTTGGTGCAAAAATTAATTTTATACTCTCCTAAAGAGAAATCAGCTAAACGTTTTAAAAAATAGCAGAAGATTTTCGTCCACCTCGGAAGGAATTGTAACTTATTTTATCATTTCTTTGGGAAATTATTGGAAATATTTTGCAATTACAAACGCATAAAAGGTTAGCATTTGTAAACATGCAAAAATTTCTGGCCATCAATGAAAATTTTATGGCTTAATTTTGTCTCAAAGTTGAGAGCAAAATTCCCTCTCAAAATCCAACCGAAAAAAATGGCTTCAGCATTATGACGTCGCTGTAAGGTGTCAAAGCAAAAAAATAAATAGCCTTTCAAGACGTCATAATTATTTGGACTACTATTTTATCAGATCATTCAGTTGAAGGTAATATTCATTTACTAAGTGTTCTTGTCATGTTAGATTCCTTATATCTTGTATATCATTGTACCAGTAAATGATTAGTTGACAACAACAAAAAGAGACTAATAATATAACACAACAAAAATAAAACTGCAGTTTGAGAAAAATGCAGTCAAAGCTCTATACAAAAAATGATAAACAGGAAGACACACCTGTATGTAGAAATTACAGTAATACTATCTTTATTTGAGAGCAGTATTATTTTTACCAGAATAGCAAGTTTATCTCATTATGTAAATCAAGTTCACTTCGATTTCTTCATATTTTCATTGTTTTTATTTAGTTCATTAATAGCTTGTGTTCTTTAATAATTTACCAATCTTGTATCCTAAAAAGTTTCTTGTTTCAGTATAATTTCTGATTTCGTGTCTAAATATTTTGAGTGATTGTATATTTTTTTATTTTTTTGTCTGACATATAGTATACTTTAAATAAAATAAGTTCATAATACTCTTTATCATATATTTTATATCCAAAAACTATACTTTTCAGATTAATAATATGTCTTCCAATGTTTAATTTCTCGAGAATTTGTTGTACTTCCTTCAAAATATGAACATTTTAGAAAGAAATGATCATAATCCTCTAATTCTTTACAGTGTTATCATGTATCTGTTTCTATTATATGCCATTGTTTTAATAGTTTATTACAGGGAAGTATATACTGTAGCAGTTTCCATCTAAATATTTTATATCTATTATCATATGTAAAGATAAATTTCAATGTTTCATATGCAGGGTTAGTATTTTCTAGTGTCAAATGTGATTTCCATTTCCAAGAAACAACAAACACGGCTTCCTCCGCCTCATTTTTAGACTTATACCTCGAATTTGACATACACAGTCATCTCAGTACCAGAATCTATGACAAACGAGACGATTTTAATTTTAAAATTATCAACTTCCCCCACCTTAGTTGCAATATACCAACTTCACTTGCATATGGGATATACATTTCCCAACTAATTCGTAATGCAAGAGCTTGCAGCTCCTACTCAGACTTTGTAAAACGTCACCAGTGTCTGGGCAGAAATTTGATGAACCAGGGGTATGTCAGAGAACGTCTCGTCCTTTTTCAAAAAAAAAAGTTCATCGGAAGGTACCAATACCTTGTTGATAAATATTCCGTATCAACTTCACAAATAATACACGATGGTCTTGAAGTATAGATTCTGCGTACTGACGCTGTTTATTTTCTTAATAACGTGTTAAAGTGTTCTTTCATTTGTCTTTATTAATATTACTTTTACTGAATGGTCTGTTTTTGATGATATACATTTGACGTGGCTCTGTACTTATGCATCTTGTGTTTGTGTTGTTTGTATTATTTTTCATTTTTACTTATGTGCTTTGTCCGTGTGACTTTATATGTTTCATTGATACATATGACGTGT